AGAACCTTATTGTATTTTTTTTATTGTTTGATTTACAATTGACTTCCTTTTGTTTAAACGAATTGTGAACTAAAAGCTACAGTTCGTGTCACTATAATTAACAGACTTGTTTGACTTGTATTAATCTTGGTCTAAGCAACTCTACTCGTAGTCAAAAGACCGATCCGCACTAATTTTGAGGAATGAAGCGAGATACAACGGCTGAGGCTTTTGCTAATATCTTCATGTCAAAAATAGATAAAAGGTTTTATCGCCAAGAGCAAAACTAAACCGTTACTTTGGAAGAGCATACTTACGACGCATATTAACGGACAGGCGTAATTGATCACATAAGGAGAGAGAATATTATTCTCAAAGGAAAAGAATGAAGACAACAACAAAATAACTCATGATCATGGAACGAGAATCAAATCAATATCTGAGTTAAGACCTGTATGCTCTAAAATTGCAGCATAGCTCTAACATTATCAATTTACAGCAGAAAAATACAATGGCTTCAAAGTTGGTAATACATTAAGAATATAAGCCGAGTTAGCTTTAGAAACTCTTTACCGTGACCAATTTAGAGCAACTTGGAACGCTCTTGTTCCAAGTTATGGGCACAACTTGGAACTGGAGTGTTCCAAGTTGAGCGCACAACTTGGAACTGGAGTGTTCCAAGTTGAGCGCACAACTTGGAACTGGAGTGTTCCAAGTTGAGCGCACAACTTGGAACTGGAGTGCTCCAAGTTGTGCACGTAACTTGGAACTGGAGTGTTCCAAGTTGTGCGCGTTCTTCTCGACTGACTCCTTGGTTAATATATTAATTAACTCCTTTATTAATTTCCATTGTTCTTGTCTCTAAAATATCAAAACAAGTACATAAAACAATGGAATGTGGTGTATTTTCGCCAAATATCATTGGCTTTCGTTTTCTTACTGACGTCAATACAACAAATCGACGGTTTTCATCTCCTGTCGGTCTTATTGACTTCACCACAGCGGCCCAGTTTCTTTTCAGTCCGGTACTGGATAAATTGTAGTGAAAGTCTTGAGTTTAAATCGACTTGCATTGGTATCCGACGAACTTGATAAAATGTCCCCCAAAAAGCTTCTCATTAGTTTAGTATGCGGTGCCATAAGCGGAGTTATCGTGGCATGGCTTGTCCTCAAATTTTTGGAGAGTGAAGGATCTCAAGTAGAAGGAGAACATAGGGAGATGAAAGAAGTGAAAGACGAACGGGACGATCGTAATAATCCCGCGGCTAAGCTACCTGAAGAAAATGATGATAGGCCTGTGAAGAGGGCTGAAGAACATGAAGAAAGGCTTTAATGAGGTGGGATTTTGGTGTATTATCTTATTTCAAACGTCAGACCTATAGATGGAAACGAGAACATTTCGCGCTTTATAGCCTGTCAGTAGTTTTCTTTTAGTTTGAACAACTTTGTAGTGTTTTGTTTCTGCTCCAGGCTCACTTAAATTTGCATATAATATACGGCCTCACACCTGATCAGGCATAATTTTTTCGCTGTTGACGGCAAATCGTAAAAATATCCAAGACGTTACAGAGATCAAGGGGTCAGACCATTTCCGGCCATTTGGCTTCAAGAGCTTGTTCTGTTATTGTTTATGTTCAAAATCAGTGAAATTGTATTTGCGGTGGCCTCATTGCAGACAGTCTGCAATTAGCGCCCACTTTTTAGTCTGTATCACAAGAAGTACATTTGCTGCTAAGTATATTTAATTGTGCAGAGGTCATTTTTTGCATTCTCGTGGTCTCTGAATAAAGAAAGTAAAAAACCCAAGTAATACGATTTTTGTCTTTCATTCAGGAGATACAAAGAACTATCAAGAAAGAATGTATGCTGTAGCTGGCATTTGCTGTGGGAACCTAAGACATTTAGAACTGAGAACTGTATATGTATAATACAAATTATTTGTAATATGTTAAACGTCTATTGTAGGTTTTAAAATTTTTAACTGACCGTTTAGTAAATGGCACACTAAGTCGTGTCAAACGTGTTACCAATCGAAAAGCCAACCAACCTGATCAATGCTATTTTTAGGCTATTGATATTTTATTGTTTATCAGAGAAGTTACTTTGATGCTACATTTCTCGGAGATTTTTATACCTTCAGTTTCAGTTCAAGTTGAGTGATCGTAAACATTGCAGTTAAGTTCTTGTGATTGTTCGCGCGTGATTTGTTTCCTAGACCAGACTAAGTAAACAAAAATTGTTCGTGCTTGATTTGGTTTGTTTGATCACGCGAAGTGAATGATATTCCTCACGCTTGGTACGTTTTCCTTGACCAGGCGAAATGAATTAACGTTTTAGGGAAAGAAAAAGGTGACGGACTCAGTACAATTCTGATCTTGACGATCTCAGTCACTTTTCCAAAATAGAACATCTAAAGCGGGCATATAAGAACATTCAGATAGCTGCATAGGAAACTCGAGACAGAGTCGGTAATAGCGTGACATTTAAAACAAGAGACCATTATTCTAATGACATCCAACAGGGGAATCCCCTCTTGATACAACAAATGGCTTTGGGGTTTCTAATTTGACGTCACTGAGAGAGGAATAGTTTTTCCTCTGATATACCCTTTGCTCACCGGTCCGAGAACAAGAAAAGCAACGAGAACATCTGTAAGCTGCAATCCATTACCTTGTCAGACTAGTTACGAGAATTGGGTATTAGATCAAGGCGACAACTTCTACCTTGGAAGTTCTAATGGTTGTGTTCGAGCGTGTAGCTTCACATGTTACAAGGCAAACTCGGTCACTCGATAGATTCTAAGAGTCTACTATTGTACTCATGAAACTTAGGGTTGTGGTAATGGACAGGAGGCTCTTTCCCTTTGTTTACTGACCAGACAGGCATCAAATGCAACTTTGGCAGACAATGCCCCAGTGTTTCCAGGATACCTTTGGCAAGAAAACAACTGTCGTCAAAACAACACCATCAAGATTCTTGTAGAAAAAACCCCACAAGGAATAATTTTTTTTGTTTTGGAAGCCTGGATAGGTCGTTTCTCAGACAAATTTGCCACATAGAACTGTAGTTTCCTGGACAAGCTTCCTCTAAGAGATATGATGATAATTTACCGAGGATTTACCATCAATGAAAACG